AAGCCCCAACCCCATCCATTTTTTTTTTCCCTTTTTTACTTGGTAGAGTATATGTGACATTAGTGGGACACAGGTATGGTTTATTATCTGTTGATGATGACGTGTATAGTATTCTCAACTGGATTGGTCTGAGAAGTATTTCATGAGTAAAGTCTTTTTACAAGCAAAATGAAAAACAGTGATTGGTTAAAAAATAATTGGAATAATAATAATAATGATCAGTAAAAACAATGAAAAGATATTGAATAATGAAGTGGGGATTTTAATGTCTCTGTATTGACTGACATGCATGGCATTACCTTTTGAAAAAGCAATGTAATACACTGTAAAGTTATATGCGATTAATGTTAAAAAAAAAAGATTATGATGAAAATTAAAAAAAAAAAAAAAAAAGACTTAGAGGCTGACCCATAGCATGGTGGTTAAGGCAGTGGGATCCCACAGGGCCAACTGCACGATTCAAGTCCCAGACCCAGGCTTGTAATACATGCTGAGCATGTGCGTGCATACACACACACACGTGTGCGCGTGTGCGCGCGCCCCCAAATCCCAAAATGGAAAAGGGATTATGGTGTGATTTTTCTCCGTATGGGATGCTTTCTCATTTTCTCTCTCCCTGGTGAGTGCATCTACCCTCTGACAAGCTGGATAAACACACACAATTTACAGAGACTAGAATAACATCCTCCTCACCTCTGCTGAATATTAGAAGAATTACTGGCTCATCAGAGAGGATCATCTACATCAAATCAAGGACATTCAGGATCAGTCCCATAGCCCAGCAGTTAAGGGAGCTGGATCCTACGCAGCTGATCATGGTTCAGATCTCAGTGCCTTCCTAAACATACCAGACATGTGAGTGTACATGCCAAAAATTCTGACAGGATGGAGAGAGAGAGAAGGCAGTGAGGCAGGCCACACTCCACAGGAGAGTAGGTAATTTCTCTTTCTCTATGTCTTTTGTGAGTGCATGTGCTTTCTGACAATTAAGACAAAAATCAAGGGCGTTCGTTAGGGGCCATAGATGTAATAGGCCTCTCATACATTCTCCTGCCGCTAGGAATAGAACAAGGGTTTGGCAACACTCAGCCATTCAGTATCCTGGCTAAGAAAACTCCAAGACCAGAGTAACCTCTCAGCTGGCACCTTCTGGTTAGTTGTTGCTTAGAGAACTTTAGTCACATTGATGTCCCTGACGGGCTTGAAGCCCATAAGGACGTTATTCAGGAGGCTGCAGTTAAAAACTTTGCAGTTGCTTTCCACTCCTGCGTTTCCAGGAGAGAACGCTTGGTGGGAATCTTGCTTACTTTTGGAACACACACCACATTGACATTATCTGAGGAACGCCATCCTTGGTGCTACTTCATCTACAGGTATTTCTATTTGGTTTGGTGGCAGAAAATATCTTTTCATCATTCATTTTTATTCCTTTTCAGAAGAAGCTGAGAATATGAACAAATAAATAAACATTAAAAGTTTTATTTCGACCTCTCTTGGGTCATTTATTTCAACTTGCCACCTTAGCATATCTCCTTTTCTGCCACAATATTGATGGGCTCAAATGACATTATTTTACAGTTAAGGAATAAAATATGGTAATTTAACAAGTTTTATTTTTTTAATTAATTTTTTTGGGGGGAGAAGTTTTTGCTATAGGGAATGTGCGCTCGCCAGACAGACAAAGACAGAGACAGAAAGCAAGAAATCACCCCCCGGGGGGATGGCCACGCCACAATCCATTCTCCTGGATTCTCCTCTTGGGATCTTGGGCATGCACGCACACACACCCAGCATGAGTTTTAAGCCACTGGGTCTGGGATGCGAACCACGGTCGACTACATGGGAGTCCAGCGACATAGCCATTATGCTAACTGCTGGTCCCAACAAGTTTTATTTTTTAAGAGAGGTTTATTTATTTATTTATTTATTTGCTATAGGGTGTGCGTTCACCAGAGAGACACAGATGGAGAGGCAGAAAGCAAGAAATCACACCCCAGGGGGGCTGACCACACCACAGTCCCTTCTCCTCTACTCTCCCCTCGGGATTTTGGGCACACATGCACACGTATCCAGTGTGAGTTTTATGCCACCACGTCCAGGATTCGAACCATGGTTGACTATGTGGGGGACCAGTAATGTAACCATTACTCCCTCTGCTGGCCCCTTGTTTGTTTGTTTGTTTGTTTATTTATTTATTTAAAGATTTTTGCGATAGGGTGTGTGTGCTCACTGAAGAGAGACAAAGAGACAGAGATGGAAAGTGAGAAATCACCTTCCAGGGAGAATGGTCATGCTGCAATCCCTTCTCCATTCTCCTCCTGGGATTTTAGCCATACATGCACACATGCTCAGGGTTTTTTGTTTTTGTTTTTCCAAATCACTGGGTCCAGGACTGGGACCACACAGTTGGCTATGTGGGATCCACACACCCTAAAACTTCTATGCTACCTGCTGGCCCCAAATTTAACAGGATTAAAAAAATTTTTTTTTTCCGGGAACCAGCAGTTAGCGTAATGGCTATGTTGCTGGACTCCCACATAGTCGACCGCAATTCACGTACCGGAAACCCAGAGCTCAGTAAGTACTGGCTATGTGTATCAGAACCTTCCCTTAGGTTCTGGCCTACCTCCGCAGCCACAGGGGGCTCACCTTGTAGAGCTCCCCCAACTCACCTTGTTCTCTTGCCTAAAGCTCCTACACTAGCTGTTCCTTTGGCAAGATGGCTGCACTCGCTCGGCTCAGCCCACCTCCTCTCACCAAACCTATGTGGGAAGCACTGCTTACTCCCTCACCTGAGGATGCTACTGCAAATCTCTTGGCAAAGCCCCTAGCCGCAATCTAAAATTCTCATTTTCCTCCAGGATCAAAGAGACTGAAGACTGGATCAGGATCAGGACATACTGGGTTCCGAACTCTGGGAGCTTGGGGTCACAGGGGTTAAGTCAGCAGGTACTGGTTTATGACTAGGGCTTGACTTTCGAGGCTGGCCCTGATAAGATTTCATTCAGTCATGGGTGAAAACAGGGTTTGGGGGGCAAGCCTGAGAACCTAAAGGTTAATTATCCACATGTGTCAATAAAGTTGAAATTGAAAAGAGATTGATGATCCATTGTTACTATGGGGGAAAATGTCACTGCCACATACATTAGAAACCACCTGAATGATACTGCCAATTACCATTTTTTCCTTCTTTAATAATAAATGCTCAGTCCAAACTCTGTTTACCTCTGATCTGAAAGCCAGGCTTTCCTTTCTTTCTTAAACAATAAACAGACATGGCTTTAATGGACCGCTAGGCTAGCTATTCAGTGGTGCCCTAGGCTCCTGAAATAGTCAATATGCTCATAAGGGACTGAAGTTCTAATGGCCCAGTTGTTTAGGAAGACAATTTGTGAGGTTCAAAGGTTGAAAGCATTTTAGATTCCTCCCCCCAGATGATATTGGCAGAGAAGATACTAATTTTTGAAAAATGATGAAGGAAAGATAAAAGTGATAAAAACTAAAAATGGCTCATGGTTAATGTGTACATCTTCAAATGTAATACAGTTCTTCAACTCATTTAAAATCCCATTGAAGTGAGATGACTCTCTAAATATTTTATCACTAAGATGTTATAAGATTTCTTACACATATATTACCACATTTTCCACTTAATTACTGATCAAATGCGGTAGTTGAAAAGACTAAGATCTTGCCGTAAACCAAAATAAGTCGTGAAATTACAACAAGCTATCGTTGTCTTGACATTCTGAAAACTCTTCTTGGTAAAAGATGCACACTCAGTTGGCCAGAACTTTCCTAGTGATCATGGCTAATACAGAAACCATGGAGCTGCCACTCCTGACATAAACTTTGAACACAGCATCTATGAAATTCTGTTGTCTTTTCACATTTTCAGTCCCATATCTTTTTGCTATATTTATCACATTTTCCAAAATATGAAATGCTCTTTTTATTTTAAATGTTGACTACATGTGAAAAATTTACTCTGGTTCTGTTACTTCAAACTAGTCCTTTATTAGCAACAGTTGTGCGGAGCCGTCAAGAAGAATTTGCAAACCCAAGGACCAAATTTGGAGGGTCGACACATCTGTTTTATTTTGCAGTTTGTTTTATTGTTTTATTTCTTAGGATATGAGTTCACAACTATCTTATAACTGAAGACTAAAGAAAAAACATATGTTGGTAAATCTGATTTTGGTGGTTTTTTTTTTTTTTTTTTCCATTCAAGGGAAGTTGCCTCCCTGAGCTGCCTGCCAATAAGTAATAAATGGACTTGGCAAAAAGTTTATTTAAGTTGGCTTTATTAAGCCAACAAAACACAGAAATCAAGTAAGGGACAGGCAGAGAAATCTGTTCCTTTGAAGTCAATAAAAATCCATCTCCTTAATCCTTTTTTTATTCCAAGCAGTGGTGATTTTTCTCAACTGACTCACTGAGAACCTTGATTTAGCTAATCTGTCTTGCTTAGTTATCTTTCTTCTCTAAAGCTTTCCTAAAAAAACCTTTCCCCTTGACGCCTGTCATCTTTGATATTGCGTGGTGGTATACTGCTCACACACGCTCTCCACTTAATCCTGGTAGAGATTTAGGGCGCAGATTCGTAATTACTATCATTATTTTAGAAGAACAAAAACAGCAATAGGTAGCAGGCTGAAACAAAAGGCACAGAACCGATGGTGCGGAGAGGTGGCCAGAGTGTGACACCATCTCTCCTTCCCAGAGCTACCGCTGCTAGCTTTCCTGTGAAAGTTGACGATCGCTTATCATTAGCCTCCAGTGGAATAACCCCTTTTCCACACACACCTACATACCCACTCAAAGGCTATGAATCAGAGACATAGTCTTATAAAACTACATTCATGTTTTTAAGATCTCCTGATTTTAAGGGAGCAGCACAGTCCCTGTAGAACAAAAACATATAGTGACTTCCAGACACTCGAAAGTTGGCACTACAGAGTAAACATTGGTTGAACATAGAATGAGACAGAATTTCTTACCTAGGCTAAAGAGCACCAAGAATTTCAGACACACGAACTCTCGTTGATCGAACTGTAGAGAACGCAGTTTTGCCACTAACTCCTGGGCATGACTCATGAGGCTGTTGAGGGTGGCTCCAGCTTGTGATGCTATAATGGAATAATCCACCTGCAACAGAGAATCACGGTTGTAGTGACCATGGTCCGAGGGGTACTCTTCACCTGAGACAGTGAGGGATGGTGGAGAAGACGAAATTGCAACACAGCTTCGCTTCTTCCCAGAGGGGGCTTGCCCCACAAAAGAAGTTTGAGACATATTATATCATTAAACATTGATGATTATTCTAAGTCTGATCATTTTTAGAGTTATTTCTTCCATGAGAGAAAGACAGACTGGCAACCCGAACAGGGTCTTTACCAAGTCCATCATGAGCCTCAGTGAGCCCTGGTCACAAGCACGGGTACTTGACGTGTACTGGGATGCCTTGGGGTATGACCCTTGGGAGCCTCCCATGTGGCCAAACATCGTAAGTGTTATCACTGGACACCAACTGGCTCCCAAATCTAGTCATTTTGCTAAACCATGTAGAAAACAGGTTTTGACTACTTGAATTTTCCATGTATGCAGCGGGGGTGGAAGGTCTTCACAAGGTCCATGGAATAGTTCATTATGAAAAAAGGATGCACGAATTTCAAAAATGCTTACACTAGAATGAACTTGTACTTTTAATTACATTTTTCCAGGAACTTTTAAAAAGACCTCTTGTACCTTTTTTTATTTTTCTGTTGTCAAATTACATTGTCACCTCAGATAAATATTTTCAACTTCCATGAGTAAGTTGAAAGAAAAATGTGGTGGCATTCAGTCCCTAAAAAGTGACTATAGGTCAAAGTCCTATGAGTACACAATGATATTAACTAGGACAAAAGAAAAATAGAGGCAGAGATACATTTCTATTTGAATTAGGAGATGGCATTTTAAAGTAATTGTACTTCATAACAACGTGCTTGTAGATGACAAAAGCATGACATTTAAATTATTCTTTAGGGGCAAAAGGTGTTATGGAGGTTAAGGTGGCTAGCTCCCACATGGCTGACTGAGTGGTTTGAGTCCCAGACCTGGAGGCTTGAAAATCACTCTGGGCACGTGTGTGTGTATGTACCCAGAATCCCAGGAGAAGGAAGAAAGGATCATGCTGTGGTCATCCCCCAAAGGGGTGATCTCTTTCTCTTTCCGATGAGCACATGTGCCATATAGCAAAAAAAAAACAAAAACAAAAACAAAGCAAACCAAAACAAAACGTCAAGTGTGCCATCTCTAAAAAGCAATGACATAAAACTGATATTTTAAAATCAATACATTAGACTACATCAAATTAATACATTGCTGTCTAAGCATAGCAATGAGCTTATTTATAATAATTCCTTGACTTAAAAAAAAAAAGCTTATTTCCCCTTTCATTAAAAAAAAAAAAAAAAAGAAAGTGCTATGAGGCATCAACCTTAGATTATGCAGGTGGATAGAAGAAGTTCAATTTCGAGTAATAAGTTAAGATGTTGGGAAGGCTGTCAGGGATAGGACTGGCTTTGCTGCTACGATTACAGCATAATGGGAAAACCCAGTTGGTACCTGAAACTCCCATCCTTTTCTTACTGGAGAGCTCTCAGGCAACCAGATACTCTTTTAGGTGCATTTAATATTTGCAGCAGCAGCAAATTTGTCTGGGAGGCAAGTTCTCATCTGCCACTCACCCAGAGCAGACTGTATTAAATTTTTATATTTATTGACATTTCATTACCATAATTGACTGCACTTGCTTCTCTAGGAGAAGGCACGGGGCTGCCTCCTAAGCAGGAGAACTAGTCCCCTGAGTAGAATTTGCAATTAAAAACAAGGCAGAATGGATTTTTTTTTTATTGTGTAAATATGATGAGTTGAATTTTCAGCTTTAACTAGAGAATACTGGGTGTACAGAAACCTTTTTCAAGAGTGAGAAAAATTATGAGTCAGTGGAAAGATGACCCCCAAAGGTGTCAATCAGTTTATATAGAGTCAACTATGCATGAAAAAGCCACAGTTGCTGAGTTCCCAGAAAGCCCTCGCACCAAGCATAGCGCTGTCCTTCCTGCTTTCTCCAGAACCTGGGACTTGGATGCTAAATGTAAACATTAAGGGCTCTAAGAGCTCCTTTGGTTTCTGTTTCAAAGTGTGTGAAAGTGTAAGGCCACCAGAACCGCCGCTGGTGGACGGAGCAGGCAGCCGGGCCCACAGAGCACACTGGGCCCTCTGCTCAGCACCCAGCGTGATGGCCCGACCACCTCTTTGCTAGTCCACTTCCAGGGGAATGTTCTACTTCAAGGACATTAGTTCCTGCTTACGAGCAGTACCTCAGTGCTGACTCTTTAAGGGAACATATACTTATTTTTATATGGAGTTAGACTGCACATAGTCCAGCTACTTCAGATAACAGTAGAAATTCCACAGAGACACCTGGGATGGACACGTGAAGGACAGCAGGAAGGTTAGACAGGGTGGCAGTGGTGGAAGCAGCAGCTGTGGACAGAACACGCCATCTGAGCCAGTCCTGACTCATACATGAGGAGTCTTGGAAAAGTCATATGTAAGATTTCAAACAGGTCATGGAAAAATGGCTTTACTTTGGTGTAAAAGAATCTTAAAATCCAGCAGCCAGACAGTGGCACAGCAGTAAAGAAACTGATCCCCCATGGGAAGGTTCCTGGTGGGTGCCAGCCTGAATACTCTTGGTGCGCATGTGCCCATGATCCGGGCTGGCTGGGGGTGGAGGTGGATCACAGTGAGAAGACAGCTTAGGGTGACCCCCTTCCTCCCTTCTCTATCTAAAAATAAATTTTTTAAAGTTCTAGAAATCTGGGACCAGCAGATGGCGTAATTGCTGCACTGTTGGACTCCATGTAGCTGACTGCAGTTCAAGTCCTGGACCCAGTGGCTTAAATTCATGCTAGGTGCATGTGCGTGCATGCCCAAGATCCTGAGAAGAGAATGGAGGAGAAGGGACTGTGGCATGGCCATCTCCCCTGGGGGGTGATTTCTCGCTTTCTGTCTCTGTCTTTCTGGCGCTCACACGCGCCCTATAGCAAAAACCTCTCCAAAGGGGGGAAAATCCACATACAGTCTGTTTTCCTTCCTTCCTTCCTTCCTTCCTTCCTTCCTTTCTTTCTTCATGTGTGTGTGTGTGTGTGTGTGTGTGTGTGTGTGTGTGTGTAAGAGAAAGCACCCAGCACCCAGGGTCTGGTCATACTGAAGTCTTTTTCCTGTATTTCTCCATTCTATCAGGATCATGGGTGCATACATCTGGCACGTTCTTCATATTGCTGGGGCTGGATTTGATCTGAGGCTAGCCACAAGAGACCTGGCTTCCATTGCACAGTGCTTAACCTGTTGTATTACCGGGCCTACCCCATAGCTTTTAAAAACCATATACAATGTCCATGAACTCTTTGATGATCCCTTATAAATCCTCATCCCTTCATTTTCCTGTCGTTAAGTGAGTTAGTTAAGAGCCAGCCCATGGTATGGTGATTGAGGCAGCTGAATCCAACATGGTACTGAGTGGTTTGAGTCCCAGACCCAGGGACCTGAGAAACACGCTGGGCATGTGTGCGTGTGCTCAAAATCCTGAAGGGAGGGAGAGATGGAGGAGAGAGGATTGTGAGGTGACCACTTCCCATGGAAGCTGCATTCTCACTTTCTCTTTCTCTGTCTGTCTCCAGTGAGCACATGTACCTTCTGGCAAACTAAAAAAACCAAACAGTTAAACTAAATGTTAATAAGCTGCTTCCCATTTATTTCTATGATTATCAAGAAATCATGATAGTAGGGACAATACTGGCAATTTAAGCTTAGAGCCACCTGAACGCACTGCAGCTGAACCTGACTCTATACACAACACATTTTAATAAAAATCACTAGTTAAATCATTAACCAGGAAGACACTACTGAAATAAAATACAAATGTTGGTACTAATTTTTATTGTGATAGAGTTAATTGAATTTTGATGTGTGTAGTTCTAACGGCTCTGTAATAAGTTCAAATATTAGACGGGATTTCATGCACGTGAACATGCAGTTCACTTCAAATGAAGGGAATCTAAATTGTTTCCCAGGATTATATTATTTAGTGAGAAACCTTTAGTGAGCTGGACTTCAGAAAATCAATGGACATACCAACAACTTTATAGCTATACATTTATTTACATGCTAATTTGAAAGCTCAAACATGCTTATTAAAAGGGGGCTCCAATAACATTTCTTTCAAGGGTAATTTATCAAATTGCACAGCTCTGAAGGAAGACAGGAGATTTATTCCTGGAACACCACACAGATCTGCAACTTCCTTACATTTTATTGCAAACATAATTATATTTTCATTGTTGAATGCAGAGTTTGTGCTTATTTCAGGAGCAGCTGGCCTTGTCTTTTATGTACTTAGTAAAATTAATTTATTGCTCTCTTCCACGTAATCTTTGTGCCATTAAAGTCAAGGGAGATATTGAAGAAATACTCTAAATCAATGTCCCCTTTGGATAAAATTCACTCATCATGAAGGTAGAAACTGTTTTAGTTAAGTTGCTTTTAGTTCTAATTGCAGAAATTTTTTTATAAGATGCCTGTCATTTTAATATGATACACAATAATAGAAGATAATAAGTTGCCAGTAGACCTGTCCCTTAGGATGATGTTACAGTGACTGTTAATTAGCTACAATATGCAAATACTAAAACCTGACCCCTGAAAGTACTCTATTGTGATTTTACACATACACAGATGTGTGTGTATGTGTGTGTGTGTCTGTGTGTGTGATTTAGAAAATACTGGATAGAGAAGAAATCATAAATATAAGATGTTAATTATACTGAATGAATTCAACAGTGCTCAATATTACTGATAATCATGATTTCCTTTTTGCTTAATAGGGATATTTAATGCACACCTATATAGATATCAGATTTAAAAAAAAAAACAATAAGGGCCAGCAGGTGGCATGAAGGTTAAGAAGCTGGATCCCACATGGCCAGCTCTATGATTTGAGTCCTAGATCCTGTGGCTTGAAAATCACCCTGGGTACATGTGCATGCCTGCCCAAAGACCAGAGCAGAGAGAAGAACACAGCAGAAGGGATTACAGCG